AACATAGGGTCTGTAGGTTTGTCCTTAAGTTGAATTTGTACGTAAGTTGAAACAGGTTCATGTACCTGTTATGTGTAATAAGCTATGTTCATAAGTCTGAGTTCTGCGTCAGGTGGATGTTGATAATTTGGGGAGGGGGCTGCCTGTTGTTCTGTGGGGTGTTTACCTAGGAGTGGAACACCAGCATTAGAAAATGTGTCTGGCTTTAGTAGATACAGCCAGCTTGTTTTCAGAATGAATGGTACTAATTCATTAGCAGTTTTTTCAAGTTCCAGCCATTCTGGCAGTTGCAGAGAGGCAGCTCATTGTGACTTTAAATTATATTTCTCTGGTAACTGTGATAATACCATCATGTGTTTGTTCTCATTTCATTACCCTCTTGCGAAGTTTCCTATTCAATTATGTGCCATAAAAACGCATTTTCTTTCTTTTCCCTCTTGATCTGTAGGCTTTTATTTTCAAGATATTCCTTCTTTACCAGACATGTACATTGTAACCATTTTGTTTCAGTTTATGGCTTATATCCTACTGTTCAAACTGTGCCTTTAGATGAAGAGAAGTTTAAAATTTATAAAAATTCTTAATGTTTACCACGTTTTGACTTGCGTTTGAGGATTCTTGATGTTGGTTGTGAAGATGGTGTCCTGTATTTTCTTTATGAAGTGGGATCATTTTACATTTAAGTCATTTTGGTGCCAGTCTTAATCCCAAAAGGCATAACTCCAAAGGCCATAATTCTAAAATGTTGAAATCCTTTGAGATCAAAATCCTTATAGTCTAAAAGTCCAAACACACACCTAAAATCCTGCAAGTTACAATTCTGAAATCATAAAATTCCAGATGTTAAAATCCTGTAGGATAGAATCTGGCGAAAGAATTACTGTGTTTTTGGTCGTATCCAGGATAGTTGCACTGTGATTTGATTTGTGGGACTTTAGACTTGAGTAATTCTGACGTTTGGAAATTTCCACATTCAGGATTATGGTGTCCAGGCCTGTGTCCTTTTTGGTGGTTCTTCCCTGAATCCAAGACATGTTACCCAGGTGGAAATGACTTCACAATGGCAAAAGAGGACAGTCAAGATTAATGATGTTCCCACACATATTTGTGTGGTCACGACATCATTATCATAAGTCAAGTGACCTTGGGAGTGGGTTTGTTCCTAGGATCTGTTTTCTGTTGTGTTGGTCTGTTAGTTCATAAGCCAATACCAAAACATCTTAATTATGATGCCTGTACAATGTATCTTGATAAATAGAAACCCCCCTATTTTGTTCTTCAGCCAGTCATGACTTTGGGACATCTCTATAAACTTTAAAGTCAACTTAGCAATTTCAATTGTATTTTTTTATTAGTGTTACATTGGGTATATAGATTAGATGGGAATAGTTGAAATTTTCACAGTATTCCATTTCCCATATCCTGGAATATTATATCCCTTCTATGATCATCTTTAAATTCTTTGGAGATTTTTCACTTTTAGCATAGAATATACATTGAATATGTTTCTAGATATTCTTCAAGTTTAGAGGATGTAATAATTCTTTTCCAGAAAATAAGAAAATGTTTCTTTTCTTTTCTTTTCTTTCTTTTTGTTTTTTTTTTTTGAGACAGAGTCTCACTTTATTGCCCATGGTAGAGTGCCGTGGCATCACACAGCTCACAGCAACCCCCAACTCCTGGGCATAGGTGATTCTCTTACCTCAGCCTCCCAAGTAGCTGGGACTACGGGCACCTGCCACAATGCCCAGCTATTTTTTTGTTGCAGTTTGGCTGGGGCCAGGCTTGAACTCATCACCTTCGGTATATGGGGCCGGTGCCCTACCCACTGAGCTGTAGGTGCTGCCCAGAAAATATTTATTTTCTATTATAATTGTTTATGGATAGTGTAGAGATAATTATTTTAATTTATATTCAACTTTTATCTCTCAAGCTTGCCAAATTCATATGTAAATATTAATTTGTATGGAGATTTATTTGCTTTTCTGCATATAATGCAATTAGTCTATAAATAATGACTTTTGCTTATTCTGTAGTATTCATCCCTTCCATACCTTCTTTTCTTCCATTGTGTTATAAGGCAGAGCTGTCACTAAAAGGATGATGGAAGCGGCAGTAACAGGTGTCCCTGTCTATTTCTAGTCCCAGGAAAACGCTGTCAGTGGCTTATTGTTCAGTTATCCTCCAGTCATCTGTAGTAGCTGTACCTTAGCATAAGTTACACGTCTCATTAGATTAAGGAAACCCCATTAACTAATGGTTTCCAAATTTTAATCAAGAATGAGTGTTGAATATTGTTATTTTTTTGACACAGAGTCTCACTACGTTGCCCTTGGTAGAGTGCCATGGTGTCACAGCTCACAGCAACCTCAAACTCTTGGCCTTAAGCAATTCTCTTGTCTTAGCCTCCCTAGTAGATGGGACTATAGCACCTGCCACAATGCCCGGCCAAGTGCTGAATATTATTGAATGCTTTTCTTTATTTATTGAGATAATCGTTTCTTTTTTCTTAATATTACTAATTACAGAAGTTGATTTTCAAACATGAATCTTGCATTTCTAGAATAAAGCCTCTTTAGTTGAGATATATTACTTTTTCATGATACTGCTGTATTCAGTTTGCCAATATTTTGCTTAGGATTTTTATATGTATTTTAATGAAAGGGATCTGCCTGTAATTTTTATTTCTGGAAATATTCCTATTAGGCGCTGATACCGAGTTTGTGCAGGCCTCTCAAAATGGAACGTGCAGTGTTCCTCTCCCGCCGCTTTCTAAAGTGATGTGTATAGCATTTCAGTATTTTGTTCACCTATACTTGGAAGAATTCAGTAGGAAAGCCTAAGTTTTCTCTGTGGAAACGTTTTTTCAGATGTAGATTAAATTTCCTTTACAAGGAAACAACTGGTCAGAATTCTTTTGCTCTGAGTGTTAGTTTGGGTAAGGTGTGCTCTCTTGGGATAGTGTTCATCTTCTCCAGATGTCCAGACAGAGGGGCTGACAGGTGGTTCCGAACATCTTCTGTTTCTGTGTCTGCGGGGGTGACATCGGCAGTTCGTGCATTTCCTCTGGTGTCCTCAGTCAGTCTTGCTGAGAGAAACTTGAATAAGAACTTTCAGCTTCTGTTCCCTGCTCCATTGATTTCTGCTCTGGTGCTTATTACTTTCTTCATTTTACCTGTTTCTGTACAACTGATTTAATGTCATAAGCTTCTTGAAATGCAGGCTTAAATATTAGTTATTACCCTTCCTATTTCCCTAGCATGCATTTTGGGATATAATTTTTATACCAATTACACTTTCAGTTGCATTTCACAAGGTATAGTTGTAAGCCTAATATTTCCCTATTTGCAATTTGAATCGTTTTAAACTCACAAGTTCCTTGTAGACATATTGCATAATTTCCAAATGTCTGGTGACTTTATGTGTACCCATCACTGATTTCTATATCTTTTTAATTAAAATGAGAGTTTTATGGTTTGTCTTGTTGTACAAATTTAAGGTGTACGTGTACCACCTGATGTTTTGATAGACAGGAACACAGTGAATGGCCACAGTGAGCACTTTAAAGTCTCCATCTCCTCACAGTTTCCTTCTGTGTGTGTGATAAGCTCACCTACGTTCCTACCTTCCTCACCTACGTAGCTAATTTCCAGAACTCCATACAATAGCCTATCTTAATTCTGCCATGGTTAGAGAACCAACTCTATGTGACTGAAATCCTTTACATTTAATGAAACTGGTTAAGGTTCAATTTAAAAGAATGTTTATTCTGCTGTTGTTGGTCTCAGTATTCTATAAAAATCAGTTGGTCAATGTGGTAATTATTTACTTCAATATTTTGTCTGCTTATTTCATGAATTACTAAGAATGATGTTAAACTTGCCCACCATAACTGTAACTCACATTTTTCTTTTATCTGCTTGATGTTGGATTTTAGTCTTGTAGGAATTGAGAATTGCTTTATTTCCTGTTTGTCATTTTATTATTGTGAAATGTCCCATTTTATTTCTGGTACTGTTTTCTAAAGTACATTTTTTATAAATCAAAAATCGTTATAATCACCTTTTTGCTGTTATTATTTGCATGTATATATTTATCTTTTTACTTTTAAGATTTTTAAGTCTAGATAGTCTTTAAGGTGTTTTTCTTTAGAACATATTTAGTATATATGTAGCACATATTTAGTATTTTATTTTAATTAGAGTATTTAGTACCTTTACAACAACTGATGTAATTACTGATATATTTAGGTTTAAAACTATCATTTCATTATTTCT